AAGAGGCATTGCCATTCAGCATCAGAAATTTTCTCCTTCAGTCAATCAGAAAGAGGCATAAAATTTATTGCTGTCCAGCTGTAATTTTGGTCGCTAGATATAAGTTATATCAGTGGCAATATTTGTGTGGGCTTTTTATATATTGATATAAGGCATGTTTTATTCAACCATCACAAGCAAATAGCTAAATCTTGGTCAAATAAAACGAAATTAGCTTATTTCCTATGTAAGCCTAAGTTTGACAGTTGTTCGACTACAAATAGTGTCAAAGTAAGTTTTTGCCTCTTTCTGATTGGCTGAAGGAGAAAATTTCTGATGCTGAATGGCAATGCCTCTTGTTCAATATACAAGCCAAGATAGCTTTCCATAAGCCAATATAATTGTGTTGGGTAAGTCCTCCATAAAAAATAAGCTAATAGCTAAATTTTCTGGATAAATAAATCTCGGCTATAACCATTTGTGAAATAGCTTCTAAAACGTATTTTTGCAGGATTTAATCACTTACAAAATTTAGAAAATAGGCTATTTTACATCCAATTACATAATAACTAATATTTTGGGTTGGCTTTCCTTTATGGCCGTTCGTGAAAGGGGCGATGGGCGAAAGGTAAGTGGGCGTGGCACCTCTAACCAACCTTTTTGGAGGGAATGAACCGCTATTGACAAAAATACAACCCCCGACCACCTAGGTCCCCTATGGTTCCCCCTACGGACCCCTTAGAAAAATTGCCAAAAATCACAATTTCATTTGCGTTTATTCGCTTGAAAAATGTTAAATATTCTTTTACACAATACATTTTTATATACACATTTTTATATAGTCAGTCAATAAAGTTTAGGTACAGCGATTTTTTTACAATACTGGCAACTATTTTTCAAATATATTTTTCAATAATTTTTTATAAAAATATGGTTACTTCTACAATAAAAACCCGAAAAATCAGAGTTCCAAACCTTGTGCAAAATTAAAGAAAATTCTGCATAATTTCATTCAAATATTGCACTTTTTATTTACGCTCTCTAAAAAAAATTTGAATATGCAGTTTTTTAGCCCACTCAATTTTAGTATAACAAAGTGCAAGTTGAGGTTGAGCTAGGACTTACCATTGATTTTTAGCACTTTTTTTGTTGAAGGTGTCGCTCCTTTTCTCCATATAAAATAATGTTTGATAATTTTTTTATATGGAAAAAATGTGCGACACCTTCAACCAAAAAATTTCCCAAAAATCAATGGTAAGTCCTAGCTTCCTCATACTTGCACTTTATTATACTAAAATTGAATGGTCTAAAAAACTGCATACTCAACTTTTTTCTAGAGAGCGTAAATAAAAAGTGCAATATTTGAATGAAATTTTGCAGAATCTTCTTTAATTTTGCACAAGGTTTGGAACTTTGATTTTTGAGGTTTTTGTTGTAGAATTAACCATATTTTTATAAAAAATTTGCGAAAAATAAAATATTTAATAAATGGTTGCCCGTATTGTAAAAACTTCGCTGTACCTAAACTTTATTGACTGACTGTACAAGACATTTTTATAAAACACCCAGTAACCAAAATAGACATCACTGGGGCGGCAGCCCCAGGTTTACCACAAAGAAAGAGAATTCTAGTTACCTCATCCTTTCCCAAGGCTGCATCACTGGGGCGGTAGCCCCAGTTAGGTCACACAGAAAGGAGAATTCTACGTAGTAAGCGTTATAATTCCTAAGCGCGGCCGAAGGGCGCCTACGCAGAAAGGAATTCTACGCAACAATACTGTGGACGCAAGCAAAAATTGCGATTTTTTGCCATTTTTCTAAGGGCTCTGTAGGGAACCATAGGGGGCATAGGTGGGCGGGGGTGGCATTTTTGTCAATGGCGGTTCATGCCCTCTGCAAAAAGGCCGGTTGGAGGTGCCACGCCCACTCCCCCTTCGACCACCGCACCTTTAATGAACGGCCATAATGGAAAGTTTCCCCAATATTTTAACAGAAGACAGCCCAATATTTGCGTTTATATTAAAATATCAATAATGTTGCGCTAAGAGGTTTTCATGCAAATGAACATGTAGCTGTCAAACTACCAAATTGCCGGCAATAGATGGGAAGATATAAGCTCTAATATATATTGCTCTTGAAGAGCAATGAGCGGTCTCCATTGACTATTTATATTCTATCATATGTATCAATATATAAACTTTATCCTGTGGAGACGGGCAGTTACTTTGACTTGCAGTCAAACAACTATCAAAATTCATCTAACATAGGAAATAAGCTAAGTTCTTTTTATTTGACCAAGATTGAGCTATTTGCTTGTGATGGTTGAATAAAACATGCCTATTATTAATTTTATCTTTTTACAAATGTGGGCAAATTGAACACGCCCTGAAAGTAATTTACGTAAGTGTTAAGCCGATATATAAATGGCAAAAATTATATAAACTTAATTGCTTCCTCCTTTAATTAAGTGTATATTACCGCATATTTGTGACCACGATTTTATTTTACAAACATATATACAATTCGCGAATATGCGACAAAGAACAAAGCAAAATGTTTGTATGTCAAAAAATTGACGTTGGCAATTCGGCTGATAGAAAGAGAAGTTGCCAAGACTTGTCTTCACGAATGGCCGACGAAAGGCCGCCATTTTGCTTTCGCCATTTTGAGAAAATTTTCAGTATCGATTTTTCATCGACTTGTCCCCTCAAAATTTTCACAATTTTAATTGGATAATTTTGTTTAAATCATGTAATTCACAAACGTTATTCAACTAGAAAAACTTGCCGAGATACATTATTCGAATCAAGGCAGCTATTTTACACCATATATGTATTAAAAAATCTTACATACCTGATTATTTAAGTTGCCTGGGTTCTGATTCTGGTTCCCACGATTTTGCTGCTGGTTACGATTACGATTCCCACCAAAACCTCCTCGATTCTGATTTCCGAAACCTCCTTTATTCTGGTTACCACCACCGGGTCCACCACCACCTTGGTTTTGATTTGGACCATTCTGGTTAAAACGTGGTTTTTTCTCCGCCGGTGCCCCATCGACATTGTCATTTTGCTTTTGCTGCTGAACATTTAAATTCGGCTTTTTATTGCCTTGCTGCATATTTTTCTGGGCTCTTTGAGGTAATGGAGCAGCACCATTTACTCCTTCAGCTTTAATTCCACCATCCATGTCGGCTAAAAAATATTTTCACCTTCAAACACACACACACTCTCCAGATATGTATCTAGGAAAATATTCTACTGAAAATCCTGCGATGCCCAAAAAACACAACCGCACGAGTCGACGACCGGAAAGAGAATGAGATAAATGTGAAAGCAACGCTGATGAAAATGGCGTACGAATGCGCAGGGTTGATTTTGATGATACGCAGGGTTGCATCGTATACTAAAAAGTACACTCAGAAAAATGTGGTCCTTTCTTAAGAGCGAAATACACCACACAAGCGGTTTGACAAACCAAGCGAAATTTCCCTTTGCTTCAAGCCATTTGTGCTGTGTATGGGGGTGTTTGAAGGTTTGACAAACCGCCGTCAAACCTTCAAACACCCCCATACACAGCACAAATGGCTTGAAGCAAAGGGAAATTTCGCTTGGTTTGTCAAACCGCTTGTGTTGTGTATTTCGCTCTTTAGTTGAAAATGTGCCGCCAAAGAATCGTATTAGCAAAGAACGTAAATCTATAAGAGACAACTCCCTAAACTGTGGCCAGTGAGTCTACAAGGCAAGGCGAATAAAATAAAATAGAAAATAAATAAATAAAAGTGTTAAATACAAAAATGAAATTACAAATAGACGGTTGCCATGCAGGGGGATTTGTTAGTTGGTTCATGGCATTATTTCTAAAAGCGCCATTTTTTATTTTAAACGTGGAAATGGCAGAGGTTACATTGCCGTCTTAAGAGCGTGTCAGACGTGGCAATGCAGTATATTTCAAAAGACTGTCAAATTGAGAAATTTTAGAAAGCAGTTTCATGAGCAGTGACACCTTGCATATAAAGTGTTTCTCGAAAGAAAGTTTTTTTATTCCGAAGGGCGAATTGCAGGGAAAATTTCTGAAAACGCTTCTTGACTGTTTACACGGTGAATGGATTTATAGCAACAGTTCTCGATACTAAAATGCAACCGTGAGCCGCTAAAATGAACCAATTTATAAAAGCAAGATAACGAAAAATAAATGGATTTAGAAAAACATATGAAATGGGTCGATACTGTCGATAGTATCGATCGTCACCTTTAAGACTATCGTAAAACATCAATGGACTGGACTATCGATAGTTTGACAGCTCTAAGCAAGAATAAATATTTCACAGTTTTTTGTTCATATTCGTGCAAATAACAAACAAATAAATGTGAAACATAAGTTGTCTCCGTCTTTCCCGCGTCCGCCGCCATATTTATCTTGACAGGTTCTAAAATTCCTGCGCATTGCCACGTCCTGACATATTTACGCGCATACATACGTACATATACCCTGCAGGAAATGTATCTAACTATAAGCTAACTTTAAATTGATTAGGAAGGAGCTAAAATTCACTTATTATCTGTATATTTTCTTTGACGTAAGCTAACTATATTTCTATGGCGATGGCCGCGAAATAGTCAAGGGTGGTTTACCTCTGCATTAGTTGTAGTCAACGGTGTTTTACCTCTACATTAGATGTAGTCAAGGGTGGTTACCTCTTACATAAAATATCAATAGAAGGAACAAAGTATATTTTTTTTTAATTTTTTTATTTTATTTTATTACATTTCATTTTTTTTTTCTATATTCTGCTGTTTTTTTCCATAGTCAAACTCCGTCAGACATAACTACAAAATGATAATATTAAATTTCGATCTTCCTTTTATTTGTCCTCAATTCGAAAAAGTATTTGCGAAGTGCAGGATATTTAAATAGAAATGCGTTTAAAGAAAACAATCTCCTTCTTTACACCTGCATTACTTGTCAACTAGTTCTAAGTTAGCTTTTTGTAGCTAACCACAAGTTATATATTTTATAGAAATCGCAAAAAAGCTAACTACAAGTGGGTTATTTTTTATCAATTGATAATTTTTTTCTGCAGGGTATATGTACGCTTACAACATGAACTTGTTGTAGCTCTATTCTGCTTGTTACCGAATATTTTGTCACCAGCTAATTTTGTTACCAAACATTGTTACCACTTCTTCTAACCGCAATTGTAGGTACCTGGGTGAAGTTTTAATCTATTCGGCATTTCAGCTATGAAGTTTTGTAGAAATTCTGTTGTTGAATATTTCATGGGGTAATATTTTGTTACCTGTTTATTAGATGAAAGCAAATTTTACAGGTTACAAGAGTTCGCAGAATGAGAAAGGGGTTTAAAAAAAGAGAGGAACTTTATTTTTCGGTAAAAAAAAAATTATCAACGCAGAATAGGCCTGTTAATGTACGATTTTGCGTTTAACGCTTTTCATGATAGTAAACAAAATTTGTGTTACCAACGCGGAATAGGTATGTATGTATGTATACACTCACTTATACATGCTTCAGAGCTTTGCAATTATCAATAATGCAAAATAATTAAATTTTTTGAAGTTGTATACATGTTGTTCGAAGTATCTAGAGTCAACTGTAAACAAATCGTAAGCGCTCGGTTTACAAAAATAAAGGCAACCGTTTTGCCAAATTATATTTGTTGTAAAACCACTTATGTGATTGCATGAGTACATTTGTACAAATTGGTTTTAATTATTTATTGATTGTGTTAAATTTATTATTTTATTTTATTTTCTTTGTTAATTAAAAGGGATATTGTATTTATAAATTACAACTTCCATATTAAAGAGGAAGTTTGTAAAGCTCTCGCATGGCGCATGTATTTTATTTCCTTACCTTTGTTTAATGTTACAAAAGAAATAAAATCTACGTAGATGCGTATTAAACTAAGTTTAAACCACACTCAGATTCAGCGGCACACGGAAAACTGGCGCTTAGTACTTTCTTGGCTAGTCCATAAGACAGTCGGGCGGAACGACCCAGACAACACTTGAGTCTTTGTGTGTGTGCCCTTTAGCCAGGGCCGAAGTATGTTTTGGTTCTTTATCCTACTGAAATTACCTAGGTAAGGCCATATCCCGTTCAGATTATCAGAGCACGATTTTATTTAAAATTTAAACGTATACATAGATGCCGATCCATCGCGAACGAGAAAACAGGTAACATAACGGTACGAAAAAAAGATTCATACCGCTACGATAAACTGGGTGCTAAGATTGTACACATACGGTTAGTGCACTCTTGTCACACTGAATGCATTCTAGTTACCCTGGGCGCACTATTGTTGCGCTGAATACATATATTTTGGCTTTGCTGAATGCGATCTTAATTAAAATTGCCAATATAGCGTCATTTGACTTGGAAACGCTTTATCCCAGCAAACATTTGGAGTCCTATTTCGGAGCTATTACGCTCATAATGAGCTCATTTAAGAGTCCGATATGAGTGTGTTTCCCTTCCTACGAATGTCGACTTATATGAGCCTAAATTCATACATCAAATGAGCCTCAATATGAGTCATATTGGACTCTTATTGGCCTCATATACGGCTCATTTTGGACTCTTTTAAAACAAGTTTTGGCCTCATGTATGACTCTTTTTGAGACCCTTATCGGCCTCATAAATTGCTACATTCGGACTCTTATTTTAGGTGTCTCTTTGAGTCTTATTCAACTCACTATATTTGCAAAGGCATTCCGCAAA